TTTACTTCCCAGGGCCTTTGAGGCCTCTACCTGAGCCACCCCGCCCTTCCTGTGCCCACCCGAAGAAACTGGTGGTCGTTGGCAGCCAGGTGCAGCAGGGAGGATGTGTTGTAAAGCCTGGGTGCGCCTGTGCCTGAGGTCCCCTTCATGCAGTGTCAGCCCAGATCCAGGAGCCACTTGCTCCCGCAGCCCCCTCCTGCAGGCCCTGGTCTGGCTCTGTTTCCAGCCCCCACACAGGCAGGCTCCCCTCTTCTCTGCCCTGAGCACCAGGCCCCTGGGAGCCTTGGTGCCTGGACACTGTCGACCCTGCCTAACGGAACCAGTGGTGTGGAAAGGTGGGCAGAGCTTTGTAAGTCCCTTCCCACAGAACAAGTGCAAGGACAGAATGGGACAGTTGTGGATCCCTGCTGTCCTCTGATGGCAAAGTAGCAGCCTCCTTTCATTTCATTTATTCAGCACATATTCCCCGAGGACTTAATCTGTGCCAGGCTCCACGCTCGGAGTCGGGGATGAGCAGCGAGTTTACAGACAAACCAGTGACGCATGAAAGAAAATGTGGGTGACGCGTCGAGGCCTGCCAGGGGACGGGCTGTCGTGGCGGAGCCAGGAAGTTCAAGTTGGCGCCATGCACTTCATCCTTAGTTCTGTTTCCTTAGTTCCTCATCTCCTTCCTTGCCCTCTTTCCTTCTGCCCGTGTGGTGGGAATAAGTGGCGCTCACGCACTGTTCACCTTCACCAGTGGTCAGGACTGGCCTGCGCTCTGGAGACCTGAGGTTTAGGTGAGACGGTGTAGAGGCCCCGAGGAGAAACCAGCGAGGGCTGGCTCCAGCCAAGTTGTTCCGAAAACAGGTTAAAAAGGGTTATTTCACGAGATTTTATCTGTCCTGGATTTATCGTATATTGAGAATCTAGTAAAGAAAATGTCTTAAGAATCTAGTGTAAATGAATGTAGAACAGGAAGAGACCATTCAGAATAAAAAGGAACAGAATCGAGGGAAAGTGATGCAAACAAGGCCACACAGCGGTTAGTTCATGATGGTTTCCCAAGGTGACGATAGTAAAACAAAGCTTGCGCTTGAAAAGTGAAAAGGTTAATGAGGCCTAGATTTCAAGACTTGGTATTTCTGTGCAACCAAATATAAAATTTTAATTTTTTTCTTTTTCAAATAGCAAACGGAAGTTTCAGAAGACAGTGATGACGATGTGGATGAAGATGAGATTTTTGGCTTCATAAGTCTTCTAAATTTAACCGAAAGAAAGGTTGGTTTCACTGGGTGGCATCTGAACGGTTCGTTGGGCCCAAACCACTTTACTGCACAATAAACGTGTCCTTTACATCAGACCGTGATATTTGAAGGGCACGTGCTCTTGGGGATCGTATTGTAATCCTTCTTTCAGTGGGAAGGTGGTTTTGTTTTGTTTTATTTTGTTGTGAATAATCTGTGCCCAGTCAGTCATTTACTCCCCAGGCATGGAGACTGGTGCTCTGATTGGACTTGACACACGAGCAGCTTGGTGCCTCTGCTGCTGTTTGGATGCCGAGGCCTCCTGGCTTCAGAAGTCGAAGGCATTTACTGACATTTACTCGTGTTTTCATCCCTCTCTTTATTAATTATTAACGGGTTCTAATAAAAAGTGAAACCAGCTGCTCAACCTCCTCAAATGAGATGCAGGCTACACTTTCTTTTTTAAATGGACTTGCCAGTTACTTCCATCGGCCTCTACGGGGTGGACTAGGATTGCTACTTCAGTGTGCCTGAGTATTGGTGTAGTAAGACCGTCTCTTACCGCTGGCCAGGGGTGGTAAATACCCAGGTGTGGGAACTTGGGAGAAATACTTCAGCAGTGAGCACTGAAGACCTAAGATTTTAGAGGCGGTGGCAGGAAACTGCCCTTACCTAGAAGATAAAAAGCAACACTTCTCACTTGCAGGTTTTCTCCTGTGAGGGAGGGCCTGTTGTAAAAAGAAGCCTTCTGTTTGCTTTCTAGGGAACCCAGTGTGCAGAACAAATTAAAGAGTTGCTTCTGAGCGTCTGTGAGAAGAACTGTGACCAGCGCGTGGTTGAACAGCTGGACAAGCTCCTCAGTGACACGAGCAGGCCTGTGGGCTTCCTGCTGAGTGAGAGGTTCATGAACGTGCCGGCCCAGATCGCCCTGCCCATGCACCAGCAGCTCCAGTAAGAGACTTGGAAATTGTTTTCCAAGTGGGTTCCGAAATGGGATTTAAGTACAATGTGTTAACACGGAAAGCGTTCTACCGTTGGTTAAAGCAGTCATGTAGTGTGCGAGTGGAAGAAACATCCTGTGACATGCGTACCTCCTTAATAATCGGCTTTTTAGGGTTTTAATTATTGAGACCGTTGTGAGAATAGTCTTAATAATCTTAAACATTTAAATGGCATCAAAATAGGTGCGTTTCATATACACTTTTTCCCCGTTTGGACTCCTTTTTCACCCTTTTCACAGGTAGATTTCTGTTAACATGAAGAAGATACTGAATCATAATAACAATAACAAAAACTGGGTAAAATTTCTAAGTTCCGTTGGGATGACTGATGAAACCATTGTCCTGATACCGCATTTCTGGCTTCTCAGGATGGTTGTTCTGTTTGTAAATGGAGCTTTAACTTTACACAAATATTTTAAATTTGAGAGGAGCCTAAGAATTGGTATGGCCTGGGCTTTGAGACAGAGGAGGATGAAATGCAGATGGGTGCCCTGGGCTTTACAGAAATGATTTCTCAGGTCACAGCATTGGACTGTGGTGCCCCTGTAAACGGTTTGTGCGGCTCTCTGTAGCTGTGGCATTTTTTAGTTTCATTCTTTCTCCTCCCTGCCCCCCCACAGCTGCTCCTCATGGTACTGCTGGTGCCCTAGTGATTTGGGTTTTGCTTTGTCTTCTTTCTGATCAGCTGGAGCGCTTGTTTATTTGGTCTTATAGAAGGTGACCTGCTTTCTCCTCCTCCAGTAAAGAAAGGGAAGTGTGTTGTTCCGTGTTGCTTCACATTTTTTATTCAGTCAGATACACGGGATTATGTATAATTTTCAGAAAGGGGAAAAAGTTAAGGCTTCATTGCTGTTCCATTAACTATTGTAGAATTTAGGGTTTCTGTGCCTTGACATGCCATTTCTTCAGTATGTCAGAAATTAGCCCTGGACTCCAGTGGCATTGGTTATGGCCATGTGCTGTTGTGTGTTTCAGTTAAACGTTTGTTGTTTTAGAAAATCCAGATTCTTACATATCTTTAACTTCTGCACTGCAGTACAGTGATGTTGAGTGAATTTGAGACTCATCTGCTAGTTGCTGTGTATCCCCAACTCAGAGCTAATCTGAGATTCATCATACTATTTATTATAAAAAGCACTGCCACAAAGCAATCAAGTGCGATGGACGGTATAACTAAAACTCATCGCTTTAGAAGTGTCCAGAAGTGTCTGCTCCTTAAGCCTGCGTCACAACAGAACCCCCTGAAGAGGCCTCACTGGTTTTCCGAGCTCAGGTTTGTGATGGATTTTTTCACCTGACCCAGCAGGCAAACCTATGTATCTGTCTTATAGGAAAGAACTAGTGGAGGCACACAAAACTAACAAGCCATGTGGGAAGTGTTACTTCTACCTTCTGATTAGCAAGACGTTTGTGGAAGCAGGAAAGAGCAATTCCAAAAGGAACACCCAAAAGAAAGATGAGTTAATGTTTGCAAATGCAGAGGAAGAATTTTTCTATGAGGTAAGACTATACTGTTCCATCCCATCCCAATGCATAAAAAAGACATAAAAATGTATGCCTTAGCACCTCACATAGACAATTTTGGGGAAATACGTGTGGGTGTTTTAGGATGGCCTGGTTATGCAAACCTGCCTGTCTTCACACAAAGCTTTATGCTGAGGAAGCCGCCGGGACAGTGGGTAAGCACAGTATAGAGTAGGTAGTGATCGGTGCTACTGAGCTGCTTGTTCAGAGCTGGGACGCACCCACCGCGCACTCAGAAGGCTCCGATCTGTTGGTGAGAATTTTATACCTTCTGTCTGAACGTCCCATTCAAGCTTTTTATCCAGTGTTTTGCTTCCTTCAGCTGCCGTTCTTACATAAACTATGCCAAACATAGTATTCTTTGTTGATTGAGTTTTGCTTTAGGCTGTGTGAATTTTATGTTTATGGTTATTTGTGGTTTAGAAGGCAGTCCTCAAGTTCAACTACTCGGTGCAGGAGGAGAGCGACACATGTCTGGGAGGCAGATGGTCCTTCGATGATGTGCCAATGAAGCCCTTGCGAACTGTGATGTTAGTTCCCTGTGACAAGATGAATGAAATCATGGATAAACTGAAAGAGCATCTGTCTATCTAGCCCATTGCCCGTGGACAGAGGCGTGTTTGTTTTTGTAAAATTACCAGAACACTCAGTGGATATTACTGAAAAACTCATGACTTTATTTAGATTTAGGTCCTCTACAAAAAGTAGGGGTCTGTTGCCCGTGTCTGTGACACATTTACAAAATATCTTTTTTTAAAATTTTGGTCAAATTATAGATGGTTAATTAAAAACTTCCCCAATAAGAAGAAAAACATGGAGTACTAATTTAAAGAACTCATTAAAAACTTCTATTTTTATTTTTAAATAACACACAAGTGTTTGATTTTTCCGGGTCAGCCTGTGTGGGGGATGGTCTCCCCCTTCCCGACGCGTCACTGCACATCACAGTAGTGGGCCCAGCGCTTGGCTGCCTGGGCTGTTCATTGCACAGTGTTCTGTGTAGGAGGTCCTGAGGAGTCACTGCAGACTGCACCGTGGTTCTGTAGTTTCAGGGCATGTCTCAAAGACTTTCTGTTCTGTTTCCATTGTTGCAATAGGTGACAGGCGGTCCATTACTTGCTGTAGAATCTCCTTACTTTCGCTGGGAGGCAGATTACTGAAATAGTATTGTGGTGCCAGTTGCATAAATCTGTTTAAAACAAAAATTTAAATAATTGTTTTATTTATTTATTATGTATGTATGTATTTATTTTGGTGCCCGATTCCCAATATCACGTCTGAGCACTTCCCAGCCCTGGAGAAGCTACTTGTAGGACTGGTATTTAACTTGAATCCTGAGCGTCTTAGTCCGCCTCTGTAGAATACATACTTTCTGTGGTTTTTATGGAACCAGTCCAATTGCACGTCTAGGCTAAGTTGGCCTCTCTGGTGTTACGCCACATAGTGGACGTGACGCCCACCGTTGGGACCACTGGGGAAACTGGTACTTCCCCTAAGTCCCATCACAGTATGTGACGGTTCAGAGCGGATACTTGGGACAACCCTGGGTGAGGAACAGGGAGTAGCTTGGCCTCTTTCTCTTATTAACTAATCGCACCCCACACCTAGCTGCTGGAGCCGGTCACCTATTAGTTTCTCCTGGCTCTTGCCTAGAGTAGCAGGGTGTTTTCAGAATGGATCCAGCATCTCCAGTAGCCTCTGAGACTAGTCTCCACTCTCACCCTGAGCCTCCAAACCCGTCCACGTAGCAGCGAGGGACCTTTCAGAATACGTGGAGAAGATGCCACTCTCGCTTAAAACTCTCCAGTTGCTTTGTCCTGCACTCAGGATAAACTGCAGACTCTGGGTGACCCATAAGCCCTCCCCGCTGGTACCTGCCTGTCTGCAACCTCGTCTCACCCCTCCCCGTCCCCGTCAGCTCATGCCAGTGGCTCATCTGGTGAGGGATGGCTGAACTCATTCCTTCTCAGGCGTGCACCTGCCAACACTGTTCGCGCAGTTTGTTCCTCAAGATGTGGCGTGCTCGGTTTTCTGTTTCTATAATGTGCTCCCTCTTTATGCTGTGATCTCAGAGGCAGGGACAGTTCTTAGATGACTGTCCATGGACCTGCCTTTAGTAGATACTCCCAACATAAATGTAGACTGCTACCAGGATAAACTTAGAACTACAAAGGTAATAAAAACCAAATTTCTCATTTTGTGCTCAAGTATGAATTCAAAAGAAGCCCCTTTTTGTCCAGGAAACTCACAGTTCAGGGGACGTTTCTGAGGTGATGGTGATGTAGTTGTTGTCAGAGATGCTGAACTCGTGGAAGAGGACCCACTCGGGCGTCGTCTTGGTGATGGAGTAACCAGACAGGGGGTGCAGCTGAGCCACCTGCTTGTGTGTCAGCATCAGGTAGTTACCTGACCCATCCACATCCCGAGCAGTCTAAGAGGCAGTGTTGAAGAAAAAGGGTGTTGCGTTAATATGGAGCTCAATACACAAAAACGTTTGAAAATTCCAAAGTGTTTCATATAGAAGAGTTAGAACTACACATTTGCCACCATATTTCCTATTTTCACATATAACAAATAAGACACACGTTTTACCCAAAACTTTGAGACAGCGATGACGATGTTGACTAACTTGAGCAATTTCAGGGCTGTTTGCTAAAATGCTACAGCTACTTAGGTTAATGTTTGGTCATGAAATAAAGCCAGCATGTCCCCTGCCACGGTATGGACCACACACTGAGATGTCAAGTGCTTTATACTTGATGTTGTAGCTCATTTAATCCTCATGACAACCCTGTAGTGTGGGTCCCTAACTTCCAGACAGGTGAGGATATCCATGCAAGTATCTTTTCACTCCACTAAGACTGCTGTAGAGTTTATGTGGAAATAACACAGTATTTCTCTTGCTGTGATGTGAAGAGCAGACCTACTTTTGAGCTTTCAGTTAGAGGAGCGAGTCGGCCTGCACTCCAGGAAGAAATGACATTACCTTTACTCACTGGGCATCAATGTACCGGTTAGACGGGAACTACTTCGCACACTGGTGAGATGAGGGGCTACATCTGCTGTTCAGCCAAAAAGAGTGTTTTAGTAACTTCCTCTTTGTAACGAAAAAGTATTCTGGCTTAGCCCTCCATTCCCTTGAACGGAAGGATAAATACTAAATCTGTAAAGCATATAAGGGGTTTCTGTTTTGTTTTCAAGTTAACATCAATGAAATAATCATCCTGAGAGATTCCTGACAGAATGTCCTGACGATGTGAGGTCTGGTAGCGACTGCACTGAGGCTGTGTCTACTCTGATCTGGGCGCACCGAGGCCTGTCCGCTCTGATCTGGGCGCACCGAGGCCTGTCCGCTCGGATCTGGCCGCACCGAGGTCCTGTCCGCTCTGACCTGCATGAAGTGCCCGGAAAGAAGCGCCTTCTTTATGTTCAGAGTGTTCTCCCTGGAGCCAAAAGCAGGCTCTGCAAAGGGCAGCTCGATCCGCTTGATGATTTCTAACAGTTCAGCTCGGATAACATCTGCCACTCTGAGCGCAGAACAGCTGAGGAAGTTATCATGACACCATTTTTCCACGCAGTCTGCAGAGGAAAGAATAAAAGGTTATTTAGAAAAGACCTGTCATAGGCTGAAAGAGCCCAGGCCAGGAAGGCACTATCTACATCCTCTTCTCTCCTCAAAAGGTCGTCACAGAAGTGAGTGGGAGGCAGCAAGGACAAGGAGCTCTGGTGGCTGAGACTGGCTGTCCTGGGACTGCCAGAAAGGGAGGTGTGCCAGCTGGCAGAATCTGCACTGGCTGTGGGGGTTCCACGCCCCCACAGAACTGCAGAAACAGCACGTCCCTAGCGCTGACCAAAAGGCTATCACCCCTCCTGGCTCCTAAGGGGCAGAGTAAGGAGACTGTCTTAAGATCAACCTTTTGTCTCGTGTGTGTACAGCAAGCATGTCATGGCCACATATAACCAAACTAGAGGGGGGAAGCTTAGTATAAAGTCATTTGATCATGAAAAAAACTCACATATTATAATAAAAGGATTACTACTAGGTTGATTTGGGAATTAATGTAGTTTAGCTACCCTAGCTGAAAATTTTATATTAAAATTCAGTACGTGGTTCAGTCTGAAGTGACTCTTTACCACCTGTAGTTACTTCCGGTGGACCTGGCAGTGCACACGGCCCCGTCGGCCTATTTGGGGCAACGAGTTCGTGCTTGTTGGCACCTGTCCTGTGTGCTCTCCAAAGATGCCACCAAATCCCCGTGTGCTTTCTGGCTCTGCTAATGTTTTCTTCTCAGCTTTGAAAAGCAAACTCCCTGCTCTAAACGCTTCTACTGCCTTTCAAACTGCTGTCCTATTTCTCACTTATTTTTCACACCATCTTTGGGAACAAAGGAGGTAAAAGCAGCTTTGTGGGAAACAGGTGAGAACAGCCCTCCTGTGGGGGGCGCAGCACTGGCCTCTGCCCGAGAGCCCTTCCTGTCTGCAGCTCCGAGCCCAGGAAGCCGCACGGAAGTTCCCAGTTCCCTTGTCACTGAGAAGCTCAGACAGGCAGGCTTCTGCCTCAGCGTCTAGACGCCACTCTGCTCTGCTGGGCCCCGTCCTCTGCCAAACGCCAGTCAAGTTCTCCCCCGCCTGCAGGTCACTCTGGTGTGGAGCTGCGGGCGTTGGGTTTGTCTTGTGGTGGTGTTCCATGTTCTCTGCATTTGGCAGAGCCACGCCACGACATGGGAAGCGCCAGCACTGACGCAGTGGGCACCTGGCGATGGCAGTGAGAGCAGGAGCCATGCTGTGCAGGTCAGCGACCCTGGATCAGGCCCCTGGCAGCTCGCTCAAGGCGGGCTGAGTGGATGCGGGTTCTAAACACCCAGCTCTGAGAGCAGGAGTGTGCCAATGTCTCTGCAGAAACCTGGGAGCGTGTGCCATGAGCCTTGGGCCTCAAGTGCCATCCCACTGAAGTGACCAACAGGGCTAGAGAAAAAGGGTGTTTGACCAATGAGCACTCAACTCTATTTTGGGAAGGACAGGTGGACTTTGTAGGTAATTTCTGAGAATCACAGCCTTTACTCACGCTCGCTGGTGGAATTCAGAGTTGTGTCTTGGTAGGCCTTGTAAATGTTGATGAGGGTAAAGTGATCTCCTTCAGGATGTAAAAATGTCTTCCAACAAGTCATGGCAGCCTCCTCAGCTCCACGGGGCAGATGCGAAAAGCAACTGGGAGCTTTAAGACACAAAAGGTTACAAGGTCAGTGGGCAGAGAGACATGTCATGCTCACACAATACGGGTCGGGGGCTCACTGCTATTTGCGAACAGTAGTTCTGTCTTACTCTGAATAAATACGTTATCTGTATTTACTTAGAAATCAAAGGCACTTAGGGGGAGTTGTCATAACGTTCTCCTTGTTTTTGTTTGTTTGCTTTTCTCAGGTCTGCGTAGGAGAGTTACTTGGCTTGTGTTGGGTTGTTGGAAAAGTCATGATGTATTTTTTCTGTTTTTTGTTGCAAAAATGTGTCATGACTTTTCCGACAACCCAATATTACAGGGGCAGGGGGATTGGGTCCTCAGACCCCAGATGTAGCGCCAGGAGGAGAACGGGAGTTCTTGTGCAGCACAGCCTTTGGTCTGTTCTGCCAGTAACAGAATAAAACATAATCCGAGATAAACGAAGGTGCAGGAAATAAAAGACAATCCTTTGGGGAAGAACATCTTAGTGACACATTTTTTTTCAGGTTTTTCTCGATCTGCGCTGATCACTTCAGCAAAAGCAAACTTGTTATGCTTTCACGTTAGATTAAGAATTCACTAGGTTTTGAGTTAGATTTTATTTCATATTAAGATAATTATAATTTTCTACATTTTGATGCATTAAAAATATTATCACTTTAAACTGATCTCATTTAATCTGTACCTGGTGCAGATTCACAGTACAAAAGAACAGGCCTTAAGGAGTACCTGTTACCATGGCAGCGATGGTTAGCATTTCGTCTACACAGTCAAATTCACAGGAGGCTAAGATAGACTTTGAGAGTTGTGGGTCCAGAGGAAACTCTGACATGATGATTCCAAATTCAGAAAGATTTCCATCATTGTCCAGTGCTGCCAGATAGTCTAAGTCTTCTAAAGCCTGCATCAAACTTTCCGGTGCTAGGAAAGAAAAAGTCATCAGAAATGGTTCAACAACCACAATGGAGTAATAGGCACTGAATTTTCTCTGTCACATGAAATGAACAAAATACATGAAGTGGCAGTTTGGAGACAAATAGCATCAGGCAATGAAGAGCTGATTCCCGAGTGGGGGGTGCTGCCGAGGTGAGCCCTGTGCTTGCCGGCTCACTGCCTTGACAGCGTCCAGGCTGTGGGGCAGGGAGAGGAACTCAGGTGGGGCCCGCCAGGCTCCGAGTTACGAAGATGGTGCTACGAGTCCAGGGAGCCTAAGGTGGCCAGAGCTTGGAGGTGGGAGCACCTGTACAGAGAGGACGCGGGAGACCTATGCAAGCCCCCCTCAACTGGTCAGAAACTACCCCGGCCAGAGAAAAAACCATCCAGAAGATCAGAGGGTCAGTGCCTGGTGCTCACACAGGATCCAGGTTACTGCCTGTCTCCACCAGCCAGACTGATTCATGGGGCCCTGGGCAGGAAACACAGAAGCTACCTCCCCCCAGATGGGCACTGCTCCAGGAACCCTAACAAATCCTAACATCAAGACCTGAAAGGACCATACTGCACCCCAGCACACAGCTCAAGAACATTTCTAGGAATACGAAATATCTAATACCCAACACAATAAAATGTCTAGCATCCAATAAAAAATTATGAGGCATGAAATACTGGGAAATAAAATTAAGAAAAAAATTAACCAATTGAAACTGACCGAGAACTCACACAGACAGAAAAAGTAGACAAAGATGTTTAAAGTTACTTGCCAGTGCAAATAAGGACAGAAGGCAGATTTTCTCCATCCCTTTATTTCTCTTTTAAGTTTATATAACATTGATAATGGAGTGGTGTTTATTATACATGTTTAATCTCCACCAAAAAAGATAATCCGCGTATTCAAAGAAAGGTATTCTTGCCTTTGCAGAATCCGGTTATATTAAATAAATGTTTTTCATCTGTCTGCTGCGTGGTATAGCAACAAAGGCCACACAGAGAAGCCAGTCACACAGGATGAAGCTGTTGTACTGCTCTACCCCAGACACTGAAGGATTATGGGAGCTACTGAACTGCTTTCATTGGTCTCAGTTCCAACATGTTCATGGCAGGTGGGACAGGAAGACTGGGGACGTAAGAAGCATCTGGGAGTTCAAAGTAACAGATAACAAAAGTTTACTTATTTGCTGTCCACGCTTTGACCCCTAAGCTATTTGTCAAAATTTCAGGCAAACTGTGTAACTCGAAAGTCAGTTGCCAACCCAGACTTGATAACATGCCCCCAAGTCCTATCAAGACCCAATGGAAATACTGGGGAGCACTCCTGCAGGTTGAGAAGTGAGTCACGCTGCAGTGCCGCTGGTCGCACCTCCCGTCCTGTCGCTGGAGAAGAGCAGAGCAAGGAACACGTGATCTCAGCCTTGGCACACGGCCTGCAAGGAGATCAGCTCCTGGGAAGAGCAGGTGTTGGGGCCCCGGGGGCTGTGAGAGCCCACGGCAAACCCGCCGAGAACCCAGACACCTGCTGAAGACCCTGAAGACAACCGTCATCCCCAGCTGGGACGAAAGAAGTTCCACTTCCTATTTATTTCTCTCATCAAGATTTGCTGCCGAGAAGAGCGTGGCCTCCCAGGAGACTCCTGGCCCTGGGTTCTGACTCTGGGCCCACCTGGGTACTGGCACGGAGCACTGGAATACTCCTTGTTCATTCTTGGGGACTCTGGGGGCAAAGACGAGACATTGAGAAGTCACAGTCCCGGGAAGGAAAGAGACGGGCTACATGGAAGGGACAGTCCACGTGTCCTATGAAATAGCGAGCCAACCTGCTGAAGGCGCAGCAGCAGCAGAAATCAGCACCTCGGACAGAGCAGGAGCAGGGACCACACTTCGCGTCATACTGGAGGCTGTTTAGAAACCAGCTTCTGTAAATCAGCAGAACTGCTGCAGTGTAAGTACAGGATCTTCAGCAGTTGTCCCTGTAAGCATCTGCCTTGACAGCCAGCTGTCCCCAGAGGGCCCCTCCTCCTCATTTTTATGCCTGGAGTCGAGGTGATTACAGGGGATTACTGACAGGTGCTGTTCCGGGTCCTAATACCAGAAAAGGAGGATGTCCCTGGGGCTTATTGTATTAGAAAAGACAAGAATGAATAGCTGAGTAGGATTTGCCAATATTACATTCTGCATTTTAAGACATCTCCCCAGCATGGCCCATAAACTTGTCTTAGCTAAAAAGCAGAGGGTTTAGATGAGGGCGCTTTATGGCAGTGCCGTTTAAGTGTACTCCATGGTAAATACTGCTAACAAATGGAACATAACTGTTTTACTGTGAGGCCTCTTCTTTACAGCAGCACAAAATCAGACTGCTTTATTCTGAAGGCAGTTTCAGTATGAACAAAACACCATTTTTATTAAGCTTTGTGGCCACCGGCAGCCGCACTCCCATGGAACACTCACTGCGAGGTTCCACTCCTCCCCCAGTGCCATCACGCAGAGTAAGGTGAGAGCTGTTACTCCAGTATTTCTTTACTGTTCCATGGAACCCCCACTGCCAAGCTCCAGCCCTGTGTCTGCGTTTTCCTTCCATGGCATCAGAACAAAGGTCGTCAATGTTGAACAAAGTCCACCTCCCAGAGGAAGGGGCCGGCCCAGGGCTGGTTCTGAGCAGGAGCACAGGGCAGGCGAGGACGCCAAGGCTCTGCTGTGTCTGTTTCAGAACCAACTGCTTCGCATGGCACGTTTCCTATGTCTTTAAAATGTACGCCAAGAATGTAGATGTAAAATGGCTGCACTCATGGCTGTTGCTCCCCTCATGGGGACATCCACTCGGGGGCTCAGTAGGACAGAGAAGAACCAGGAGACACAGACACGAGACACTGAGTGCCAGTGTCTGGAAGTCTCTGATTAGGCGCCCCTGAGGCACAGCCACATTCTCGCCCTGGATTTCCTGAGACACCCTGTTTCCTTCTCATCATTCACTTTGCCTGTGCTGGTTTGACCTCATTGCTGGCACTTTTGTGCAGAAAAATTCTGAAATACGTACACTGCGACAGAACAGGGACAGCGCATCCATTTAGAAAAGGCAGGGACAGAGGTGGCCGGGGGACAACAAGGACAGCCACACTCACACAGCGCTCGCTACGCAGCAGGGACAGATGTTCATCACACGCGCATGCACACAGAGAGAGTGAGGGGTGAAGCTGCCGGTCTGCCTGGTTTTAGCCTTGGACTTGGCATTGTGTCCACTAAAGTCGAGTCCACAGAGGGGAGCACTGAACCAGAGATGGCGCTGGGTTGGCGGCATTGTGGGACTAGGATTAGGTTTGGCTCTGAAAAGGAGAGGAATCAAAGGCTTCTTGAAGTTTCAGTTTCACAAGGACACGCTCACGCAACCTGGTGTTTGCCTAACTCCTGCCCCTGCACGGCATGCACAGCACTTGTGCATAAAGAGCCTCATTTGAGCCTCTTACTGACCCCATGAAACGAGGCAGACATTCTACCCTCCTGCCACAGGTAAGAAAAAGGCCAGTCACGTGTGACAGCCAGGGCTCGCCAGCCTGCCTCCGCGGCTGCACGTGGGGATCTGAACCCAGGCCTTTCTCCAGCAGCGTCTGTTCTAACCAGCGCCCTATCCAGGGAGAAAGAGCTCTGAGACCACCTGTTCCCACGGTCAGCGGGTCCTGGGCTTCCTCACCCAGGTCAACAGGGACTGTCATTCACGACGGAGGTCAATCGTCAGCACCAGGAAGAAATAACTTTTTTTTTAATTTAAAAAAGATCTATATCAAGGAAATTCAATTAACAGCCTGTAGCCTACTTATGCCAAACTCATTTTCTCACGGCTCATGATCCTGAAAAGGGGAACAGGTCGGCCGGATTTGTGTATTTCATTCACAAGCTGAATTAAATGCACCAGCTGCAAGCACCATGCTTTTTTTTCTTCCAAAACAATGAGTCAGTTAATCCAGTTATATTTGCCCCCAAGCGCAGCAGAAAATAGTTAATGTGCATATTGTTAGGAGACAAATAAGTTGTTCCCCTAACCAACCCTCTGTCCCCCCGTTCTCGGCTCTGAGCCTCATGGAGTAAGCCACACACAGGTGACCAGTGAACAGCAATTCCCCTGCACCAAGGCAGTTTGGGGTTCGCTTTTTAAAATCTCTGCCATTGCAAAGCTTGCGTTTCTCCTCCCTTCATGACTGGCCCCCAAACGTCTGTGCACAAGAAGATGCCTATGGAATCAACCCAATTACAGAGGCGTGAGCTCCTCGTGGGTTTTCCTCGGGAAAGGACGATTCACGAGGGCGGGCCTTGGCCTACAAACGTTCATTTCAGCCTCCACTTCCATGTACCACTGTCCTTCCTGGCGTCTGAGGCGCAGGCTCCCTACGCTGCAGTGTTCACGGCAGACAGGTTTCCGGTGTCAGAAGAGGTGCTGCCTACGTCTTCTAAAATGACCTTAGAGAATGTCTCTCTCTAATGGGGAATGCGCTTCAGGACTGGGGATATGCAAGAGGTGAGCGGCTCAGTCCCAGCCCCACACCCCCGACACGCGCACAGAGCTACCTGGTCTGTTCATGAAGTCACAGTGGCCCAAGCCCGCGATGTCCACTCTCTTCATGAAAAGCACCATGCTGGTGAGGTTGGCTTCCTGCATTTCTGCCACCTTCAGTGGCCGCATGTCTTTGGAGGCAAATTCTTCAGAGTACAGACAGAACAGTTTTCCTAGAAGAAATCCAGGGAAATGGCTTTAATGTCTATGTGGCCTGCAGACAGGAAGGTATGTCAGTCCGTCTGTGTGTCCGTAGCTACCTGAGGAAGATGAGCCGAGAATCTGCTTGCGAATCTCTGCTTGGCTCTGGCTAATAGGCTGCATGACGAGGGAGCTGGCTCTGATTCTAGGGTTGTACACCTTGAAATAGAAAGACAGCATCGTTAGCAGCAGGCCCACTGGACCGGAAGTGCCTGCCGTGTGCAGCCCTCCACCTCGTGAAATGCTCTGCTGCAGGCTTGTTTTCTGTGGACAGTATTTCTAACTGTCTCACTTGCCTCAGGATGGAAGCGCCAAGTGCCTTGATAAATGGATTTAAGGGCTACTTTCATTGCAGCTTCAATAAATATGGGACCTCTGTATCATCTGCTTAAATACTAGTGTTGTCACTTCTCAGAGCACGACACAGGTGAATGATGACTGCTGCTCATATGCCCGTGGAGAAAAGGATTACCCTCTGACAGGGCTGTTCCTAAGGTTCTATTCAAGCTGACTGTGATCTCAGTGGTCTCACCTTCATGACATATAATGAGCTTTTCCAGTCATATCAGCTAATACAAAAACTGCACTTGGCACTCACAGTGGTTTTCTTAAGGGGAATTTAAGGGGAGTAAGCAGTAACCTTGGTTCTCTGAATGGTGGACTAATTCAATAAGATCAATCCAAACTGGTTCCAAGGGAACCTTCCCAATGGGTGGAATTGCTTCGTCACAGTAAGACAAGGATATTTAGGGACCCATAGTTTCTTGGAGGGATAAAAGCTACAGCATCTAATAAAGGTAAATGGATCAGTAGTTGGATAGGTTCAACTAAATGCTATGATTTCTTAAGTTCCAATGTCTTTGCGAGTTTGAGATAGCCTATGTCCATTTTTCCTAATTTTTTATTTAAAGGTAGTGATCAGAAATAACATTCTTTTAAAGATTTAGGATGGAATTTTATCATGTCAGTTATAAAGCCAAAATCTGCAAAAATTAAAGTCAGTGTACTTATAACTCATTACTAGGAAATTACCTGAGGGAAGATGCTAATTACTTTGATAAAGGAGCTACCAAAAATACTGAGTAGTACAGAAGAAAAGATTAGTTTAGCAGTCAAACAATTTGCTTTGCTATTTGCTAGTACCTTAGGTAAAGAGAAAACCCTGACAAGGAGAACCGACACCTTTATGCTTCAATAGTGTGTGTTTCCTCAAAACTAATTCCTCTGGCACCTCAATTTAACTTGTGTCCAGACTACCAACATGCTAATGCAAGGCAGTGACACGTGGTCAGGGCTTCGTTACTGGCTGTGCTAGTTCTTTGCACACGTGAACAAACAGAGAATCCTCAGATCAAAGAGTTCATCCTGACTTGCTGGTCAAGAAGTTGGTGGGAATCCAGGAAACTGGTTCTCGACAATTATCAGCAGTCTGTTTAGCCCACTTGATAGTAATTACCTTTCTTCTTTCCACGCCCACATCAATAACGAATCTGACCGCGTTGCTCCAGATCAAAGACTCGCCAGAGCTAGTAGTTAACACCACTCTCCTCTGATGAACGTGGCATCTTTGTTCTGTTTCATCATTTGGCTTGAACAATGCACATTTCTCTTTTGGATACAAAGGCACCACCACCAGCTCGCCGAGATCTGGGTTTAAGTTAGACCCTTCTTGACAGACAATTTCGTAGGCCTTTTCAATATCCTACAAGTAAAAAAATAACATCATCTATGAGAATAAAGCACATTACAAACAACTTCACCACTTTAAAAAAAAGTCCAAATTACATAAAACTACAGGCAAAAGCTGCACAATGTATCCAGGGAAAGAAATACCTGTGTTGTTGCCTGTGTGTATCATTAAATATGAAAAGAAGATGTAACTGGACGAGAACGTTTCTTTGGGGAAGTTAAATAACAAAATATGAGCAATTTCATCGCTTTTAGTCCAAGATGGTTCTCCTCCTGTAAAACGTACTATCTTTGCCTTTCTGCATTTATCCTCTTTTTCTAGCTTGATGCAGCTTCTCATATCCATTAACGATGCGGGGTAAACCAGTTATTCTCACATCAGTGATAAGGCTTCACTGTGAACGTCTACCTTCTGAAGGGCCTAGCTACCTAGCAAAATGGAAGAAGCCCCATTTCATTAGATTCGTTAGATTTCATGAAAAACCTAAGTAAGAAAGACGACTTCCCATGATTGTTACAGTTTTTCAGATTGATTCCACTTTCCATGGCTCCAGTTCACTTCTCCGTCCTTCCATACCATTTGTAGAATGGGACTGAATTAACTCAGAGGTTTTGTAGGAAGACAGATCTGCCTAGAAAAATCGCAAGGCATCACAGGTCTAAGACCTGGGCTGAGCTGTTTGCAAGTGATTCCTGAACTGCAGGGGGACCCAGGAAGCAGGGGCAGAAGCGGCCTTCTGGGGTTCCACCTAAGCAGGCTTCCCTTTTCTGCACAGAGTAGGTTTACTTGGGGCTGATTTTTTTTTTTAAGGTTTTATTGGGGAATTGGGGAAGGGGACCAGCCAAGTTGTCCTTCAGTCTTCGTTGTGGAGGGCTCCAGCTGCCATTTGGCTTTGCGTCGGTAGCTCGTGGCCTCTAACCTCAAGGTGCTGTGTTATAATCTTAGTTGCAGGTGGGCGTAGCCACCATCCCATGCGGGAGTCGAACCAGCAGCCTTGTTGTTAAGAGTGCACGCTCTATCCCCTGAGCCATCCGGGCGGCAGCTCAGCTCAAGGTGCCAGGTTCAGTCTTAGTTGCAGGTGGGCGTAGCCTACCATTGAAGAGGCAGTCTTGTTGTTACACCAGCTGAGCCATCCTGCCACCTGTTGACAGCTCAGTGGCAGCTCAGCTCGGGCGCAGCGTCACTGGCCCATGTGGGAATCAAACCGGAGGCTCTGTTGCTCAGAGTTCATGCTCTTAAGCCAACTCTTAACCAACTGAAGCCAATCGGCTGGTACTTGGGGCTGATTTTCACCAAGAAAGAGCATGCCTAGTAATTATAATGAATGAAAACTTGCCAACTGGAATAATCAGAACAAACTATCCATTTTATAATTCTGATCACTTTATCACTTTACCTGAGGCTAGCTTAGAAATTACAAGGAAGAGAACAGGTGCTTGAGCTGCGTGTCCCCGCCCCTTGCAAAGACATACACGCCTTCCTCCCGATGGGGATCTCCAGCAAGCTTGCACAGGCATTACTTTACCCTTCAAGATAACCTGGAGTCAGAAAAGGAGGTCCGATTCCAGGAGCCCACTCATGAGCGACTTCCGATCAAAATAAACCTTCAAAGTGCACAGAAATCTCTTATTTTCTTAGAGTACTGTTTAAAAAGTAATTTGGGCCACTCATTTTTAAGTTGCTAAAACTTTTTAGTTGTAGGTGGGTTGAATTTGTTCTAAATGGGGTGAAAAAGAATAAAAGAAATCTTCGAAAGGAAAAAAGCAAAATAGAAACAGATTGTATCTAGTTTAGACTCGTAGGACTTTGATGTCAGAAATTTCAGAATTTGAAAAAAATACTTAAAATATGCATGTGGTGCTTCAAATGGCTTATTCATTCCCTTCCTATTTTTTACATATGTGGGACTTCCCTATAATTACCTGCAAAGCTACGGAAGACATAGCAACACACACAGAATGAAAGACCCGAGCCAGAGACCACATTTCCCGGGAAAACCTTAGCCCAACAGCGCCTTCTCCATGATAGCTCCCAGTCGCATAATTCGCTTGGCTACGTATTACCATAAATCTCCACTGCTGTTTGCTACTTATTTCAGTTTTATTTTTCAGGCTAAAAGACAGTGAAGTGATGAGGAACAGCACACTGTAAACCTTCAGGGTGCTGAGTCTCAACTAAGTACCGAGGCCCAGGCAGCAGGTGACTTGTGGGTCACTTCACACAGGGGAGGCACTGAGCAAGCAGAGAAGAGGCGAGGCACCCAAAGCCCACTTCACCCAAGCAGTGGAATACTCTGCAATTCAAAACGTACTGCTTAAAACAAAAAATGACAGCACGTTTCTGTTAGACTGCTTGGATTTGTTCTCATGTGACATTGATGGCAGACTTTACAGTTTCATATGGAAATGTAGAAAGCTTCAAATAGCATGGGGGAAAACGGTCCATAGCTGTTAACATGGATTTCAGAGCAAGACAGATTTTCCCAAGACACAGATTCCATAGGAAAGGAGTATCTTAATGGTAATCCTGACATAAGTGGTGAGAAGAAAAGTCTGCCAGGATACTGAACTGTTCAGCTTGTCAGGTGGCAGATGGGGAAAAGAAAACCAGGGGACGGCTATAGAATTCGGGCCTGCACTGTGAGGACGATGTGTGCCGAAGCTCGCTGCCTGACCCCCGGGCAGCCCGCCGTGAGCCTTGGCAGCCTCCCCTGTCACAGATCCCAGGGACGGACATGGGTCAGGTCAGCCCCACCTGCCCAAGGGACGCGTCCTCATTCTCGGAGGTGCAGAATTGCAAAACCCGCCCGTAGCCTTCATCGCACCATCAGTCAAGATTTTAAGAATCTGCAAGACTGATGATTTCTTAATAGGAAATGTCTTTCTGGTCTGACTTCAAGGAAGGTTATCTAACTTTCTAAGCCCTGGGGTTTCATCCTTCCTACTACCAGCCTAGGTAAAAACGCATCTTCTAAAGTCTGGCAATTCAAAAGTTACTATGCCATTAATTACAGCTTATATTAAACTATGAGAAGCAAATACTCTAAGACCATCCAGTCCCCCCAGTTCTGTTATAAGATTTATGTTTCAAAAGTCCATTTCGGAACTTGTGCTTACTCACCCTGGTCCTATTTACACCCCTCGCCTGTCATTGTACCTGGCGAGTCTAACCTTCAGATGTTTAGGCTTCTCATTTTCCCTCTTCCCTTCCTTAGGCTTCACCCAGCTACACCGACAACCTCCTCTCCTAGCCCCTCAATCATTGTTTTACTGTTCTCAGGGCTTTCTTGAATACCTCGACTCCTGCAGGACTAGGGAGTGATAACAGAATAAATCACCGTGGTAGGCAGAAGATGCACTACTCAAGAAACTGTAATCTAGGCACAGAATGCTGGTAAATATGCTACAGTTGTTATATATTGGCGATTCTAAATGACTGTCTTTATGGAGGCAGATAAAATCTAAGTTGTGAGAAAAGTGTCTGAAGTTCTCAAGGCTAGGAATGAGTCATCCTTTATGCTCTGAAGATAAAACAGAACAAATACTCCTGCAATATTTCAGAAAGCGTATGGATACTTAGGAAAAGGCCCCGGTAGAGCGCTGAGGTACTTAGTCTATAGGCTCAGCCATCATCGAACAATTTCCTTTTCAGTTTCTGCTTAATCACTGGAATCACAACATATTTGAGCCGTGGCCTAAAAACTAGTACTTTCACTCTCTGAGTGATGATGGGTAGGATAAAAAGACCAGGAAATTAGTCTCCAAGATGAAGGGTCTAATTCTTGAGATTCTAGAGGCTTTTAGATTTAGCCAACAGAGGAGTGGAGAGAGACGCAGGGCCGATGGAGCTGTAACAGAAGAAAATGCAGCCCCAAGTGACACGTGACTGCATAAAAGCACTAACAGATGCTCGCTTACACATTCCCAGTTGTTCTTTTGAAAAGGCATTTTCAAGCATCCAAGTTAAGATTTTTCTCAATTATCTTTTTAAGAAAAGGAGCCCCAGTGTCAGAAGACAGACTTCTGGGTATGCTATAAATTACATTTTTCAGCCTGATACTCCACCGACTACTGTGGGGACTTCTGTGGGAACTTGTTTGTTACTTGCCTCTGTGCCATGCCCTCAGCTTATATTCCTCATCTCCAACAAGTGCTGCTGATCAGGAGGGAGGCAGCCACAGCGAGTGGCTTCCCTTTTGAGACGAGGCACAGCCGGCACGACTGGCACCAGCTCTGCACTCGGGGTGGCCCAGGACCCGGCCTGTGTCTGGGGAAGGAAGTTAGCTTTGGAGAGCATTTCTATAAACTCCTACTTGTTTATAGAAAGTAGGAGTTTCTATACCCCACCCATGTTTTCAGAGCAGCATGTGATTTCAGAAACACTTCCTTGTCCCTTCAGCTGGCTTTATCACCCTACCTACATTTCTCCCAAAGCATAAAAAAGGAGGTGTGGTGGAACCAGATATTTACACAGCTAATGAGCAAACTGAAACCTGTACGCTAGTTAGTCAGAGCATCCCAACAAGGTTAAAAGGTTCCCCGTGACTAACCTTATTATTCTGTTAGGTTAGAATATGACTTACTTGTTCACAGGCCAGAAAGACGACAATGTCACCCTTCTCACCAGACTGGTGAATTTCAAAGAGGAGGCGTAACACAGACTCAAGAGACTCCCCGTGAGCCCCGCTGAGGTGCACGACCTCCACGGGCTGCTTGCTCTTCACTTCTATGAGAGGCACGCTGCCGTAGTAAGAACTCAGTTTGCTGATCAGGAGAGGTGAAGAGTTTATTATGAGCTTCAGTTCTGGTCTTGCCAGTAAAACATCTTTAAGAAGTCCAAGTAACACATCAGTGGCAATGCTTCTTTCGTGGATATCATCTAAAATGATGACCCCATAGCTACCCAGGAAAGGATTGGACATCATTTCTCTTTGCAACATATCATCAGTACAATACCTACATGGAAGAGACGTTCAAGTTAGAATACTCTTATGAGAAATCATACAAAAACTCCTAACAACAAAAGTGACTTTCCTGTATCTGCTTCTCTAAATCAGGAGTTCTAAATCTTTATTAGTGCCAAGATTCCTTTAAGAT